TGTGCTTTATCCACCCGGCGCTCCGTTCGTTGTTGTGAGCGTTGCTCCTCCGCCCTCCGTTGTTGTTGGAGAGCGACTGCCTCCAAATGCCCAGTGGCGTCCTTCACGAGCCTCCTCCACAGAGGCCGATCTTGACACCGCTGGTACCAGTCATCGGCAAGACCACTCAGCTCCACATCATCCTGTACCACATCACTCCATCTCTTCTCTAGCCCATGCCGCGCCCATTTAGCCCCTTCGATCCGGCCGAACAAAAGCTGTTTAGGCATGCGGTGGCTGGGCATACGGGCAACATGGCCTAGCCAACGCAGCCTTGCCTGCCATAGGAGCTCACCGATGGGACTTTATCCAGATTTTTCAAGGATTTGTGAGCTCCTCACACAATCCAGCCTGGTTAAACCCAGGATGGATCGTAGGCAGGCCAGCCTAAATGTTTCTAACCGGCGAAGATGTTACATTAGAGAAGGGAGGGAATGACCGTGGCCGAGAAGACCTGAAGCTTTGTGCGGAGCGAGAGACCAGGTAGCTTCCACACAGCGTTACACAACCGATGAAAAGATAATGCCGCTCGACTGATTCGGAGTGAGACCTCTACTGTTAAACCGGAGCTGGTCATGAGCACACTGCCCAGGTATGGGAAACTCCCCACTCTCTCCACAACTGCCATATCACCAATTGGGAGTTGTGGGGGTGGAGTGTCCGATAGTACAAAATACCCAGGCAGATGCTTAGTTTTGGTGGGGCTGATGGTAAGGCCCCACCTCTTAGTGGCAAGCTCCAGGTTCAGCAGCAGCGCCTCCAACTCATCCTCTGAGTGAGCAGCAATAACCAGATCATCGGCATACATAACATGGTTGAGCAATAGGGAGCCATCCCTTGACCGCACCCGGGCATCGATCAGCCTCCCATTGTATCTGTACCAGATCGAAATTCCTCTGGTACAGCTATTGAAGGCTTCACGAACTACGTGGTCAAAATAGATGTTAAATAATGTGGGAGCAAGAGGACATCCCTGTCGCACCCCAAGGTGTACAGGGAATGGCTCTGACTCCCGGCCACGTAGTTTTACCCAGGCCCCCTCTCGGCAGAGCTAAGCTCCGCCTCTAACTACGCCCCCCCCCTCAGAACCTTCCCGATGGTTCCCAGCATATAACCACGAGCTCCGCCCATTAACTTTGGCCCAGATGGAACCGTTAGCTCTGATTGGCTATGACTGATGCAGCAGTGCCTATGCAGCCCTCCGTCGCCCTCTCTCATTACAGTTGTAAAGTGTGGCTCCTCCTGTCTCTTCCAAGCCGTCTGGTTAGCGTGGAGGAAGTAGGGGAAAACATTCTCTCTGGAGGAGCTCTAAAGAGCTAGTAGAGGCTCTGCTGCCGTCTATTCTAATTCTCTATTTTTATTTTACCAGGTAGGGCCCACTGAGCTATATATACTTTAGCTCTTTGTCACAAATAATAGCTCAACAGCCAAATAGTCTAAACGCGTGACGTTGATTCTAAATGTGGAGGGAAAAACCGGAGGACCCGGAGAAAAATCCACGCGACCACGGGGAGAGAGACACGCAACCTCCAAATGTACAGCAGGCGTCAGGGTCGGGATCGAACCCGCGACCTCCTGCATACCGGGCGAGGGAGTTAACATCTCACCACCGCGGCTTCCCATTAGAGCCGTGAACAAGCAGTTGCAGTGGCTGCACCTTTGTCTCGGATCCGAAATGTGTGTTCTTACTTGAGAGTGCATGGACTGCCTGCAGATGTCTGTGGAGGCACGGCTGTGGAGAGGAGTCGGTGCGATCCTGGGCATGCACCAGAGGTCGCAACCGGGTACCCGATACCCGTACCCTACCCGATACCCGGCTACCCGTACCCAGCCGGGTACGGGTAGCCGTTTGCGACCCTGGTGCGGCCGGGTACGGGTACAGGTAGGCCGTGAGTCACTGGTGAGTAGCCGTTTGCCACTAATTTCGGGTAGGGTACGGGTACGGGTAGAGAACGGCTATCCGTACCCGGCCGGGTACGGGTACCCATTTGCGACCCTGGTGCGGCCGGGTTGCGGGTAAGGAATCAAAACCCGTTTGCGACCTCTGGCATGCACTGCCTTCGACATCAGCATCCAGAGGGAAACTCTCTCGCGGGATTCGCGCGGACACGGAACCAGCGGAGGCAATTTCACCTTCATTTCCCGCCTAATGGATCCGCGGCGCCCTTCCTCTCGCGGCCTCGGAGTTTTTGCTGTGATGTAATAGCAATTACCAATACAATGTATTACTATCATCGTTCATAAGCAGAGGAAGCACCAGTCAGTCACTGAGAGACGCTCCCACCAACACGTGCCCCCCCCTCATCCAGCCACTCCACCCCCCTCCCAGAGCCCCCCCCCCAACACACACACACCAACCCCCCCGCCCTTCCCGTTGTCCGTGACAACCCTCAGCCGCCCGCCCGTACCCCCCCCCCCCCTTCTTGAGCGCCCCCCCCCCCTGGTCCCAAACCTCAAGCGTCCACCCACCCCTTCCCAGAGCGCCCCCCACTCAACCCCCTGCGCCCCCCCCCCCCAACTGACGTCTAACCCCCCCGCCCCCCACCGTTTATAAAGGAGGAGGGACCCATTGAGTAGGCGCGGTGGACGGGGCATGCCTTGGTCTCCAGCCAATCAGAACGCTGTGGGCACGCGGCACAAACTAATACTAATACATTAGTCGGTTTAAGAGAGTAACACACACGCATTTGTTATATGGTGTGAACTAATGCACATGTATCACCTCTTGTGCTCAACATTAAACTTATGGTATGAAACCTACATACTTAAGTAATAAGCAGGAGTCTCGAGTGATATCATGAATACACACAGAGGAATAACGTGCCATTACTGAGAAACGTGGCATCATCTATCACTGTAGTATATCCACTCAAAAACTACACACTTTACACAACTGTTTTAATACTTTTTACCGACATTTCATGAACAGGATTTTAATTAAAAAAATTCCAAAAAGAACGATTTTCAAAACGATAATTCCGGAGAACATGAACATGGATATTGCAAGAAAAAATATTTCGTCACCTCACTTCTATACGACTCATTACCCTCACCACTACCCATCAGCCTCACCACTACCCACAAGCCTCACCACTCATTAGCCTCACCACCACCCATTACCCTCACCACTACCCATCAGCCTCACCACTACTCACAAGCCTCACCACTCATTAGCCTCACCACCACCCATTACCCTCACCACTACCCATCAGCCTCACCACTACCCATCAGCCTCACCACTCATTAGCCTCACCACTACCCACAAGCCTCTGCACTCATTACCCTCACCACTACCCATCAGCCTCACCACTCATTAGCCTCACCACTACCCACAAGCCTCTGCACTCATTACCCTCACCACTACCCATCAGCCTCACCACTCATTAGCCTCACCACTACCCACAAGCCTCTGCACTCATTACCCTCACCACTACCCAACAGCCTCACCACTCATTAGCCTCACCACTACCCACAAGCCTCTGCACTCATTACCCTCACCACTACCCATCAGCCTCACCACTCATTAGCCTCACCACTACCCACAAGCCTCTGCACTCATTACCCTCACCACTACCCATCAGCCTCACCACTCATTAGCCTCACCACTACCCACAAGCCTCTGCACTCATTACCCTCACCACTACCCATCAGCCTCACCACTCATTAGCCTCACCACTACCCACAAGCCTCTGCACTCATTACCCTCACCACTACCATCAGCCTCACCACTACCCATCAGCCTCACCACTCATCAGCCCACCACTACCCATTAGCCTCTGCACTCATTAGCCTCACCACTACCCATTAGCCTCACCATTCATTACCCTCACCACTACCAGGGCCGAATTAAGATGTTGTAGGTCCCTTGGCTACAGGTACTAGTGAAGCTCCCAGTATTATTTTCCAAAGGAAAACTAAGTAAAACTAATTTTATTTTTACAAGGCTAACAACAAATAAAATTCAGCATTCACAAATTAAAGAACTTTTCACTTCATCTCTGGAGGCACTCCAACTGGCAGAGGCCCCTAGGCTGCAGTCCCCAAAGCCCCGTGCCAAATGCCTTAATCCGGCCCTGACCACTACAGCCTCGCCACTCATGACCCTCACCATGACGCACAAGCCTTACCACTGATTACCATCAGCAAGCCATTCACATTCAGGCGATCAAGCGCAGTTAACAACGACCCCCCCACCCCCCACCGTGATGTCTCCTTCGCACCTTGTGGATGCGGTGCAACAAAACATCGCGTCGCTGAACGTTGCGCGCAGTGTCCGTGGTGCGCGCAACACGTGCCGGTCTTGGGCCTCCCCTAGGTCGACTCAGCCTCAAATGAATACCTGGTGCGCGGTGTGTAAACATCGCCACTTCGGGAGACAAAGGCGGCCCGGCGGGGTGCTGGCCGCCCTGGGTCGTGCCGGCCCTTCACAGGTGCTACTCGCTAGATGCACTTGCCCCCCAACAGTCTGCTGTAGGCTATACGGGGGATCTTTGTCTTTGTGCTCTCCCCCCTGGTATTTTTCTGTTGCGCCGTAGTCACTTTAAGGTGTTTCTTGTTCATGTTTTTAGTTTGTTGCGGTTGCACCCGATTCAAGAGCCGCATGGCGCACAGGGCAATACCTAACACATGAAACTGAAACTGATGACGACCGCTTGTGTTGCGATCGAAACGTCGTGATTTGTTTCATTGCATTTCTACCCACGTGACTTTACCGAAAGAACCAACGAGCATGGAAATTCCTGCAGTCGCGAAAGCTTAAAATCAAGATTCAACTGAACAGTCTGTGCGCTACGACTCACGCCCTCCCCTCTCCCGTGAAGCCCCCTTCTGCGTTGTCGAGGAAACTCGGCCGCTGCCCCCCCCCCCATCACCACCACATCCCACCCCACCACGCCGCACTTCTTTAAAAGGAGAAAGAAAAAAACCCACCCGAGACACGGTAGCCACGGGCAACGGATTATGTCGATAGGAAACGACCGTCCAGCGGAACGCGCCCGATAGCAGCAGCAGCAGGCGCGGTGCGTGAGACATGAACGCGTCGGCTGGAGCAGCATCAGCTGCATCGCGGGGACGCGACGCATCCGCTCCATCAGCGCGCTGCGAGGTGGCGATGGGACGGGTTGGTGATGGGGGGGGCGAGGTGGGGGGGGCGTGGTGGTGATGGGGGCAGAGTGGTGATGGGGCGAGGAGGTATAACGCTGCGAGGTGGCGATGGGACGGGTTGGTGATGGGGGGCGAGGTGGGGGGGGGGGCGAGGTGGTGATGGGGGCGGAGTGGTGATGGGGCGAGGAGGTATAACGCTGCGAGGTAGCGATGGAGCGGGGAGGGGGGCGATGTGGTGATGGGGGCGGAGTGGTGATGGGGCGTGGTGGCAATGGGGCGAGGTGGTTGAGGGGTCTGGGTGGTGATGAGTCGGGTTGGCGATGGGGCAAGGTATAGCGCTGCGAGGTGGTGGTGATGGGGTGAATTGGTGGTGATGGGGCGAATTGGTGGTGATGGGGCGAATTTGTGATGGGGGCGAATTGGTGGTGATGGGGCGATTTGGTGGTGATGGGGCGAATTGGTGGCGATGGAGCGAATCGGTGATGATGGGGCGACGCGGTGATTGTTAAATGCCCACGCAGAGCGCATACCTCGCGTCTCGAGGCGTCGCGTGTACTGCACCACAGACGGGCCGGGCTGGGGGTGCGCTGTCTAGGGGGGGCAGGGCGTCACGAGTGTGGGCGAGACCCTCGCGATTGGGAGAGACGTGGGGAGCCATCGCGAGTCGAGTCGCTCGCAAGTTGCCGTGGTGCTGCTGCCCTCCCCACTCTCCGCGGCGCGCCGCAGTTACACGGAGCAGCGTCCCGCGCCCTGTAGGGGCATAGCGAACGCTGGGGGGGGCAGCGTGGGGTCGTGTGGTCTGTAGGGTGCGGGGCAGCGTGGGGTTGTGAGGTCTGTAGGACGTGGGGTCGTGTGGGGTCGTGTGGTCTGTAGGACACGGGGCAGCGTGGGGTCGTGTGGTCTGTAGGACACGGGGCAGCGTGGGTCGTGTGGTCTGTAGAACGTGGGGTCGTGTGGTCTGTAGGACGTGGGGTCGTGTGGTCTGTAGGGCGCGGGGCAGCGTGGGGTCGTGTGGTCTGTAGGACGTGGGGTTGTGTGGGGTCGTGTGGTCTGTAGGACACGGGGCAGCGTGGGGTTGTGTGGTCTGTGGGACACGGGGCAGCGTGGGGTCGTGTGGTCTGTAGGACACGGGGCAGCGTGGGTCGTGTGGTCTGTAGGACGTGGGGCAGCGTGGGTCGTGTGGTCTGTAGGACACGGGTCAGTGTGGGTCGTGTGGTCTGTAGGACGTGGGGCAGCGTGGGTCGTGTGGTCTGTAGGACACGGGGCAGCGTGGGTCGTGTGGTCTGTAGGACACGGGGCAGCGTGGGTCGTGTGGTCTGTAGGACGTGGGGCAGCGTGGGTCGTGTGGTCTGTAGGACACGGGGCAGCGTGGGTTGTGTGGTCTGTAGGACACGGGGCAGCGTGGGTCGTGTGGATCTGTAGGACGTGGGGCAGCGTGGGTCGTGTGGTCTGTAGGACGTGGGGCAGCGTGGGTTGTGTGGTCTGTAGGACACGGGGCAGCGTGGGTCGTGTGGTCTGTAGGACACGGGGCAGCGTGGGTCGTGTGGTCTGTAGGACGTGGGGCAGCGTGGGTTGTGTGGTCTGTAGGACACGGGGCAGCGTGGGTCGTGTGGTCTGTAGGACACGGGGCAGCGTGGGTCGTGTGGTCTGTAGGACGCGGGGGAGCGTGGGTTGTGTGGTCTGTAGGACACGGGGCAGCGTGGGTCGTGTGGTCTGTAGGACACGGGGCAGCGTGGGTCGTGTGGTCTGTAGGACGTGGGGTTGTGTGGAGTTGTGTGGTCTGTAGGACACGGGGCAGCGTGGGTCGTGTGGTCTGTAGTACACGGGGCAGCGTGGGTCGTGTGGTCTGTAGGACACTGGGCAGCGTGGGTCGTGTGGTCTGTAGGACACTGGGCAGCGTGGGTCGTGTGGTCTGTAGGACGTGGGGTTGTGTGGAGTTGTGTGGTCTGTAGGACACGGGGCACAGTGGAGTTGTGTGGTCTGTAGGACACAGGGCACAATGGAGTTGTGTGGTCTGTAGGACACGGGGCAGCGTGGGGTCGTGTGGTCTGTAGGACACGGGGCAGCGTGGGGTCGTGTGGTCTGTAGAACACGGGGCAGCGTGGGGTCGTGTGGTCTGTAGGACACTGGGCAGCGTGGGTCGTGTGGTCTGTAGGACACGGGGCAGTGTGGGGTCGTGTGGTCTGTAGGACACGGGGCAGCGTGGGGTTGCGGGTGGTGGAGGCAGGAGCGCGACCGCCACCATCTCGACCCTCGGAGTCCCGGGCCCTGGAGCGGAGCCATGGGGCAGCTCTGCTGCGGCTGCGTCGGGGAGACGGAGGCTGAGGCAGGTAACGAGGGCCACGTGCTTCGAGTGTCACCGGTTCGCGACCTGGTCTGGGCTCTGTATCCCCCACCCTCCTCACCATCTGTGGAGTGCCGTGTAAGCGGAGTGGTACACGGGTCCCTGTCTGTACAGGATACTTCACCGCGCTGTTCACTACGGATTGGTGAATGTGATTATGTATACTGAACTTCTTTCGCACCGTACGTGGTCAACCGCGCTTATCGGAATAGGATTGCGCGGTGCGTTACTCACGAGCCGGGGTCGGTGGCTCTTCGGCTGCTCCCCTTGCGGGCAGCCGTTTAAAATTAAAATTAAAATGTTAACCTAATTTAACGTAAAGATAATTGACTAAATGTGGTAGGCAATGAGTCACTGTAGAATGTCTTGGTGACAATGTACAACAGTCAAACTATATTCTTAACAAATAACTCGGGGGAAGGGGGGGGGCTAAATCGATACAGCTTATTCCATCAGGTATGTTTGTGTGTTATTGTTATCTGCTGTGTACACGCTGCTGTTGTTGTGTGTTGTGTATGCGTAGCTTTGCGTGCGATGCGGCTCTCCAACTATTTTGGTCAAGGAAAAAAGCAAAAAATGCCTCTTCTTCTTCTTTGAAAGGTTGCCCGACCCCCTTGCTCATGGAGGTCGCCCACCCAAGCTCTGTCCTCCAGGCTCAGAACCGGCTTGGTGGCCCAGATTTGACGAGGTCGGCCGTGATGCAGACAATTTGGCGATAGATGAATGGGTCACAGCGAATGACGGCCATCTACTGGCTCGGCTTGCCCAGTCCACACTACAGCCGCTCGTCGTCTGGGTAATTTTTTTATTCCACGTGGTTCACTCAGCAAATCCTCACAGAGTCTCATGATTAATTTTTTTTCGAAAGAATCACGTCAATTTTTCGCAGTAGGGGCCGATGATTGCTTGTGCTGCTGCTGTGTGTGGATTCAAATGGAGTCAATTAGCGGTTTTTTTTCTTTCTTTCGAATTTGGCAGATGTTTGGCCACGACCCTGGCACACAGCATAGCCCACTCTTTCGAATGCACGTCGGGGGATCTTTTAACGTCCGCCGTGAAGACGACGGCGCATATGTCACGGTTTATTTTTCGACCACCGGTATTAATCAAGGCGGCCACTCGAAATGGATCCGTTAAAAAAACCTCCGCTGTGCTGCGTCGCCGCCCCTTGTTGTTTGACCATACTTCACCACGCTTCTCAGTCGCGTTGGGGGGCCACCGAGGATCGGTTCGCGTGCTGCTAATGATGTTATCCGTGGCCAGGATTCGAACTCGGGTGGCCAGGTTCACTGGGCCATTGACAGACTGAACTACTGAACAATTTTTTTTAATTTACCAGGTAAGGCACCACATAGCTATGCAGCTCTTTTTCAGAAGCCACCTGGCTATTAAAAAATTATCGCTCAACGAGGTGGCTCATTATCACGTGGACATTTCTAGCAGCCAAATATTCTAAATGCGTGATATTTCATTCTAAATGTGGAGGAAACCCTCGGAGGACTCGGGAGAAAAATCCACGCGACCACGGGGAGAGAGACATGCAAACTCCAACTATACAGGAGGCGTCAAGAGTCGAGGTCGAACCCATCACCTCCTGTATACCAGGCGAAGTTGTTAACGTCTCGCCACCGTGGCGCCCTGACACACGGTGTACGCGATATGAAGCGAGTTGTACGCCTTCTGGTGTCATCTGGTCCAACACCAATGGAGACTAGGCTCTAAGGAAAGCTGTCTCGGGTGTGGACCAATCAACTTCAAGGACAGTGCATATTATTATCATCATCATCAGAGTTGTTTCTTTTTGTTTGCATTTTGACTACTTGTGTTGTGGTTATTGCAAACATGATGCCTTGTATAAAGGTGTCAGTTTTGTACCAGCTTAATGGGTAAAAACCTACTACTATGAAGCGACGCTGTTTGAAGCGGCGGCCCGCACCTGGGTATCGCGCGAGGGGTCTGGTGCCCAGTTTCCGCTGCTCGCGATTCACAGATTCCGGTGACACTTTGAGATGAGCGCCAATCTCCACGAGTCGCGTGAGCCGCAGCAGCAGCAGCGGCAGCAGCCGTGGCGCCTCGACACTCACTGCCACCTTGCACTGTCACACGCTGCAGAGGGAGCCGACACTCAACAGGCCATGTGTGGGGGGGGGGGGGGGGTGTGACGGGGTGGTGATGTGGTGGGGTGAGAAGGTGGTGAGGAGGTGGTGAGGGTGTGGTGAGGGAGTGGTGGGGTGAGGAGGTGGTGAGGGTGTAGTGATTGAGGAGGTGGTGAGGGCGTGGGGGGTGAGGAGGTGGTGATGGTGTGGTTAGTGAGGAGGTGGTGAGGGAGTGGTGAGTGAGGAGGTGGTGATGGTGTGGTTAGTGAGGAGGTGGTGAGGGAGTGGGAGTGAGGAGGTGAGTGAGGTGGTGATGGTGTGGGTAGTGAGGAGGGGTGGTGAGGGATGTGGTGAGTGAGGAGGTGGTGATGGTGTGGTGAGTGAGGTGGTGGTGAGGGTGTAGTGATTGAGGAGGTGGTGAGGGCGTGGGGGGTGAGGAGGTGGTGAGGTGTGGTGAGTGAGGTGGGGGTGAGGGCGTGGTTAGTGAGGAGGTGGTGAGGGTGTGGTGAGTGAGGAGGTGGTGAGGGCGTGGTGGGTGAGGAGGTGGTGAGGGTGTGGTGAGTGACGAGGTGGTGAGGACGTGGGGGGTGAGGAGGTGGTGAGGGAGTGGTGGGGTGAGGAGGTGGTGAGTCAGAGCGTGGAGGGGTGAGGAGGTTGTGAGGGTGTGGTGAGTGATGGTGGTGGTGAGGGTGTGGTGAGTGAGGAGGTGGTAAGGGCTCGGTGGGGTCAGGAGGTGTGGGGAGCGGTAGTGTAGTGATTAGTGCGCTGTGCTACGAACCCGGCGACCCGAGTTTAATTCCCGCTCACGGCCAACACCAATGACGATTATCTGAAACGGTCCTGGGCCTCCCCTCGGTCGACTCAGCCTGAAATAAATACCTAGTGGGGAGTGAAAACATCGCTACTGGGAAGACAAAGGCGGCTGGGCGTGGTGTTGGGCACCCACCCCCTCGTGTGCTGTGCCAGCCTTCATAGGTGCTCGCTAACAGCACTTGCCCCAACAGTCTGTTAGGCAATACGGGGGATCTTTGTCTTCGTGAAGAGGTGGTGGTGGTGTGAGCAGGAGATGTGTGATTGTAACTATATAATGTCGACACGATGTGAGTTCAATCAAAGCTGTAATCATGAATTCGCTGCAGCAATCAACTCTGAAAATCCTCGCCATGTCCTTTGGAAAGTGTAAATGTGGAGAAGCCTTCATCAGCAGTGGGCAAGTGTGTTTCCATTTAATCTTCTTACCGTTTTTCTTTACTCTGACAGCTTGCTGCTCGTGCAAGTGTTGTTGCTGTTACAATGATTGTTTGGCTCCTGGACTGCCCACCACGATGAAGGGCTACGCCTGAGATAGGTGGAGGCTGCACTCCAGGCACGAGCCCCAAACAATCGGTGACCGCCAGCCCCGAGAAGAGGTCCCGCTGCTCACTGCCACGGTGTTTTCATGAAATTCACATGCCACAATAATGCATCCCAACTTTATGCTATTACGGATTGGTGAATCGCCTGTAAATTATTGCAGAGCACATTTACAAATGGTGTACTTAAACGAAAAACTACTATTTTTGATTTGACCAGGTAAGGCCCCATTGAGCTATATAACTTTCTTCAGAAGCGATCTGGCTATTACAAATGATAGCTCAACGGAAGTGGCTTATCATTACGTGGAAATTTATAGCAGCTAAATACTCTAAACGCATCTTTATAATTGTGGAGGGAAAAACCGGCGGACCCGGAGCAGAATCCATGCCACCACGGGGAGAGAGAAATGCAAACCCCAAATCTACATGAGGCATCAGGGTTGGGGTCAAACTTACGACCTCCCGCATACCAGGCGAGGGAGTTAAAATCTCGCCACTGCGGCGCCCCCTACTCGACACGAATCATTCCTTCATTGAATAATTCCAGGACACGGCCGGCCACGCATCTCAGCGGTGGAGCCAGCGTGCGGCTCGCAATCGCTCCCTCCGGGGGCCAAAACACAAACAAGTAACACTTTTTTGCAGAAGTCAACTAAAGGTTATTTGCAGTGAATCGCACCCGAATTTTGGATTTTCCACACTGGCTTATGGCTATAAATGGGGGGGATGGGCACCTGCTCCAATATTGATTCTTCGACATGGGTCGAGCATATGGGTCGAGGAATCAATATGCGAAGTTCACGAGAACGTTGACCATGACGGTAGCAATAGAAGAGTGACAAGGAGGCAACATCTTCTTTCTGCTGATGTAAATGCGGAGCAACAACTACAATTTCACATTCAGGTGGTCAAGCCAGACAACCGTGTCAGGAGCAGTAGCGGAGTATATCGCTCTGACATCTCCTCCTTCTACGTATTTGTGGATCGGAGCATTGCGTCGTTATGCTTTGCACGGTCTCCGTTCCGGATGACCACAATCACACACTGCTGGAGAGTTATTAATTTTCCATTTGTGCATCAGCTGTCCGCATCCGCTATGGTTTGTGTGGATGCGATTTAGGGTGGGTCAGCTTCGTGGAAGATCAAACCCAGGGATATTCTGCGTTAAGTCTTTCATACGACGTTTGCGAGTTATTTTGAACTCCATTCAACTCCCCAAGCTTCATCGGGATTGAACTCGCCTTTTTGAAGGTGAAGCGCATTGGTCCATAAGGAGACAACTGATCAGCGGTCAGCAAGTTAACTGCCGTGAATCAAATTTCGATTTAAAGCTTTCGTGACTGCAGGGATTCATCTTCTTGGTTCTTTCGGGAAAGTCACGTAGAATGGAAATAATAAAATAATAAAAAATGAAACATAATAAAATAATGTCTTCTCGACAGACCTGTTCTCCACCTGAGGACGGCTGCTTGCGTTGTGGCCGAAACGTCGTGAGAATAATTGTATTATGTTTTATTTTTTATTATTTTATTATT